TTGACCAGAATAAGCTTATGGCTGAGATCACTCAACTGGTTTCCCTCCAGTTCATCTAGGAGGACATCCTTGTTAGGGTGAGCAGACACTGCTGTGGGGTTCCTCGGGGTCCATCCTGGGTCGATTGTTATTCTGTTTTTAGGTGTTAGGTGCATTTCTTATTATTTTTATGGATGACATTCAGTTCTACTTGACTTTTAAGCCTCGCCAGCTGCACCGGCTGTCTGCCCTGGCTGACTCTGTATGTGGGATTAGTGACCAGCTCTCCAACTATTGTTTTAAACTCTGAAGCCACGATTACTGCTCCTCCTGTTATGCACACAAGCCAAATGATTGCTTCTTTTTGCTGACTAGTGTTTGTAATTGCAGCGTAATGTTGGAGTCCTTATTGAACTTTCACATATAAACTCGATCTCACGTTTCATTTCAGGAACATTACCAAATTGCGATCCGTAGTCTCCTCCTCTGAAATGGACAAAATTGTTCTTGTGTTTGTATCATTGTGTTTAGATTATTGTAATGACCTTTTTACTGGCTTAAAGAAATCACCTCTGTTACTGCTGCACCCAGACAGCTCACATTACCGCTGTGTTACTCTTGTTTTTACTTTGGCTCACCATTGATTTTAGAGCTCGTTTTAAGAGTTCACACTTGCATACGGAGCATTAAATGGACACGCTGCAGACTATTTGTCTCAACTTCTTGTTAAACACACTGCTGCTCGCTGTATCCACTCACAAACTCAAAACCTATTAGCTGTTCAGACAAGAGTCCAGACTCGAGGGGACCGAGCGTTTCAGTCTGTGGTCTCTAGCTCTGGGACAGTTTACCACTCCAGCTCCGCGTAACTCTGTGGACTCTTTAAAAAACCAAAAATTAACAACTTTTCTGTTTTAATCAGGCCTCGTTATTCTTTTGTTATGTATGTGTTGGTTTTTTGTCTGAATTGTTGTTCAGCACTTTATGAATGTTGTATCTGTAAAAGACACGATATAAATAACAGATGCCTCACAAACTCATCTTCTCCACATCTCACATGAAAGTTCATGTTGGGAGGAAACTCGCCTGTTAAGATGTTAAATTACTGAAGCCTGTTTACTGGGTAATGCTACACACAGTACAGACCATAACTGATGAAAGCAGTGAAAGCAGAGCCAGGGTCAGCTTGACATGCACACAGGTCTGAAATCATCTTATCATAAAGGATGAAAGGTTTCTGCACATGCGCAAACCACCACAAAAACGCCGCGAGCCTCTAGCTCAGAGAGATGCATGTAAAATGGAGACAGCTACAGTTCCCTATGAGCATGAAAACAGCAGCAAAAACAGCAAACAGTCACACAAAAACAGGACATTGTGGTGGTTTAATGTGAAGTCATTGTGATGGAGTGGTGCACAGTGCTGTATTTAGTATGTACTCGATTAGAAGTGCTGAGAAATCGTGGAGTGGGAGCAGGAAGTGCAGATATCGTATGGTTAGTCTGCCTGGACTGTGTGAACTTGCAACAGTGTTTAGCAGATCATTGGAATATGCTACTTGCAAACATACTGTTTTCACTTTTGCAAACCCCAGTTCAACCCGGTGCACACTCATACCTGAGTCAACAGTTGATGTTTTCCCACCTGACTCACTATCAGCTCGCTGTCCTCCTGCACTGAAGTCACACACAAACATGTGATATTCAACTAAAAAAACAACATTAAAAAACTGAAGTTGTCATAAGAGCAGGGTGTGGATTACCTTTCATATCATACTAATAATAATACATTTTATTACTTGGCACCTTTCAAAACGTGCAAGGTCACATTACAACACAAAACAACAAGAACAGTGTTAAATGATGGGAACAGAAAAGTAAAACAAAAAGGTGAAAGTTAAATAAAACCAAAGGTAAACAAACAGGATTTACAGCTGCACGGCACTAACGAGCTAACTTGTTGCAGCCCTTGCACGGGGTGATCCGCGTTAACTCGCTAACGAGATTAACGCTGACAGCACTAGCAACTATAGAACAATATAGACAACATAGACTGCTGCTGGCCGTTATTACATTTAATTACATTAGCTAACATTTTGCACACAATAAGCAAAAACTTGTGTCGTGGAATAGCATTTTCATCTTCTTTACTTGTACGTGTGCACTGGGCGGTTAAACCTGTTTCTTTTAACCTGTCCCCTCTCCAACAGAAACGGTATTATATAATTAGACGACAATGTCAGAGAATAATACTAAAACTAGGGATGCACCGATACCGATACTGGTATTGGGTATCGGGGCCGATACTGTAAAATGTGTGTGTACTCATACTCGTAAAAGTTAACCGATACCATGAACCGATACCAACTTATTTCATTATCAGAGGGTGGCTTGTCATTTCTGTTGTAGTTTTTTAGATTGGCCACTAGGGGGCCAATTATTATTTTATTTATTATTTATTTTATAATAATTATTTTGTTTGTTTGTTTACAATATGGACACTCTGCAATAATTTAAACATTTAATTTATTCACAAACCTAATTTGTATTTATTTTATTCCAAACAGAAGTGTTTATTTATTATTCTGAAAGCTCGAGACAGTGCCAATAGTTCAGTGATATTTTGTTAAATTACAATGTGGAGACTCTGCAATAATTTAACAGAAGTGCTTATTTTTCACTTGAAATTTTTTTGTGGTCATTTTTATTAAGATTTTATTTTTTATCGGCAGGGAATATAATAAAACCTGTCTTCCAATTCATTGCATTTGTGTGTGTGTGTGTGGTAGAAGTATCGTTTTTTGTGCTCTGTATCGGCAAGTACTCAGATCCAAGTATCGTATCGGTTTGAAAAAATTGGTATCGTTGCATCCCTAACTAAAACACGTTGTTATTGCTGATGTGACTTTATTTTGTTATTGCCTACTAATGAGTTCTTTAGGGGTTCTACAGTGAAAGTGCGCGAGCGTCTCATCACAAGGTCTAAACTGGGCAGCGGTGCCATCAACTGGGAAAGACCAGCTTTTCCCTCATGCTGCGAGTCCAAAATGTTATTTTCAGCTGTGACAATATTTAACTAAAAAGTGGGACTGACTGAGATGTGCAGTATCCTGATTGGATGTTGCTGACTTGGTGGTGAAACACAGGCCTGCTTGGTGATTTATGTCGAATCTTTCAGACTCACTGATTAATATTGAGTTTAATGCGAGTAATGATGCTGGTTTTTCATCTTTGTGTTACATGTTACACAAAAGTGATTATTGTTATTATGAATATGATGTATTAGACATGAATTTGGAGTTGTACAAAGAAATGATTGGCAAAAGCAAATCCCAGAATCTGCCATTAAAAACATCAAACAGTCTATTGATCGTGTTACACAAAAACCGAGACAGTTTTTGTGTGCAGAAGAACTGGTAACTAGCCCTGCCCATCACACAGACAGTAATATTTGCACGTTGTCTCTAAATGTATGGGTTTGTAGGAGGTGCAGTAATTACAAATAATAGTCATAATGAAACTCAGACTTTTCTATGTGGTTTTCAGCATTCAGCCTGTAAAGTCTGCATAACTGGAACAGTTATTAAGATGGCAAACAGAACACGAAGCAGCGAGAGGAAGAACTACTCCTGCACATATCCCTCGCTTCTCTCTTTGCTTTCTGTTTTCCTCGCTGAGTGCAGCAGAGAAAGAATAACAGCAGGGCTGGGAAATGGAGATCTGATGCTCTTTATGCAAATCAAATTCCAAGACTGCCATTCATTTCCTTCGCAGTACCCTGAGGACGGAAAGAGGAGTTGAAAAGCAAAGGGACAAAAACAGTGAGGAAAAGTTGAACCCGGGTCAGCTTTGAGCAAATATTTTTACAGAATCGGAGCAGAGCTTTGTGAAGGCCAGTCACTGAGCTGTATTCACTCCAGCTGAGCCGAGTGTTTAGTTACACTTCTCACTGACGCTGCACTCACATCCAGTGATAATAAAAAAATCCACATTATAACTCTTCATCAACCTTAACCGCATCATCTGGGAAATTTGCCTTTATATCAATCATCCAGACGTTGTATAATAATTAGGGATGCACCGATACCGATACTGGTATC